TGCCAAGCTTCTCTTATTTATCTGTTAGTGATTAAAACCGAGGTCCTGCCATCTGGTCAACAAAGACATCCTGAGACTGGCCTAAGACCTAGAGACACTAAATGTTGGTTCCTTGCTCGTGGTCAACAGATGTTTTCCTTGCTTACCCTGAAACCAGAGTTAATGTAAAACAGCTATCTGTGACTCCGCAAAGTGTAAATTCCAAAGCCAAAGCACACACTGTCTGTGTGTTTAGATTTCAAGCAGGACATCACAGAGAGGGTCCCCTCCCTGTTGTGCATGGCTGTGGTCTCCTCCAGGGTCTCAAACTCAAACTCCCTGCCACCGAGTCCATTCCAACTCACAGTGACTCTGGAGGACAGGGTGGAACTGCCCCTGTGGGTCTCCAAAACGGTCACTCATTTTTATCCCATTTAATTAGCTCACTTCTTTGTGTAGCAAACATCAGCTATCTGAATAAAGGAATAACGTGCACTCAAAAATGTATATATTGCATTCAAAATATCACTAATTTCTATTGTATTGGATATGACAGCACCTTATATTTTGGGTCTAGGGCAAGTGTCTCACTTGCCTCAGCCTGCTCTTGGTCTGTTTGCAAACAGAAGACTAATGAGGATGAGAGAGCAGGTGGAATGGCCGGCCCCTCATCCCAAGGGCTGTGCACGAAAGGAACGAGGGCCTGCTCAGCGGTCAAGCCCAAGGCTGGTGGGTCCTCTGGCTCTGACTGCAGCCCAGTGCCCCTTTGCTCATGCTTCCCACACCCTGGATTTCACTACTATCTGCACTGAGGGAGTCTAGATTCCTACCCACCACTCTTCCTCAGCCAAGGAGGAGCCATCTGACCCACTCACCTCTCTATTCGTGCACCCTTCGGGGCGAGACTGAGTCACCATGCTCGAAAGGGAACTTTATAATTTCTCAGTACCGCCAGCCCACCTCTGCTTCTCCTTTGTTTGCTGTTTGCTTGGTGGAAGAAGTCCCACTGGTCCACTCAACCAAGAGATCATCTAGCAGTCATTCTTGACTCTTCATACCTTCTCCATTTCCTGGGCCTCAATCATTAAATCTGAGTGAGTGTTGTCACTTAACTATTTTCCTGAATCGATTCTCCTCCATGCATCCATGTTTTTCCTTCCTGTTATCCTTTGTCACTTCACAGCCTGGCCCTTCAGGACAATACTATGCAGTCTTTTAGCCCAGGTCTGTGTTCATGTTGCCCTCTATCTGGAATGCCCTTCTCTCCTTGGTTGGCTAACTACCTTCAACTTACGCTTTCAGATACAAGACAGGCATTACCTCAGTCGTTCGTTTACTCCTTTAGTGAGCACCTGTTCAGAATCATGGCACCTGCGGGACCAGCATAGTCATGTGTTCCACACTCACCGGGTCTGCTGGTTTCTCATGAGTTAGATGTGGTGTTTCATGTGCGAGAACACTAACCGGAAATGTCTAAAGCGAGCTATCACTGACCTTCCCTGTAATACTCCCACAATCCTCTCTTCCACTCTGGTGGCAACTCCATGGAACTGTGCTTTCTTGTTCTTTGGCATCCTACCTACAAGTGAGGGGTCTCCTGTTTGTCTTTATACACACGATCCTGGCTATGGCAAAAGCTCTCACCGTCTGCTGAGTTCAGAAGGAAGAAGCGGGAAAGATCGCAGATGGAGACGGAAGCGACTCACTCGGGATTACTGTCACCTCTGCTGACACAGCTGGTGCGCTCCCTGCTTCTGCAGAGACAGCCTCTGCCAGGGGCGCCAGGCCTAACAAGATTTACCACCTCGGAGAGCTCTTTCTTTCTCTCCCGGCGTACAGGCCACGCAAAGCAGGACAGTCTTCCCTGAGCGTTAGAACAGAATTAAATTCCAGAGTGCTTTACAATCTCACCTAGACGAAAGCCGGCCGTTCCACTTAGACTCACTGACAATACGTGTATGTGTTTGTGCTCAGAGAGGAGGTGGCAGGGGATGAGGGCGACATTGGAAGACAGAAAGGAAATCCACAGGCTGGACGTGGTAAGTATGCCAGTCTGCCGAACAAAAACGAATAGGGTCTCACAGAAACCAGCTTTGCCGTGTAGGCTCTTTAAAGACGTGTCAATCAATCCTGAGCAAACAGGAAGCGTAGCGGCCTGCTCAGGATCACCCATGTGAAGCAATACATTGAGTTGAACAAGCGAGAGGAGCCTGGGTGGTGTTGAATTACCCCTCCTAGGTGGCTGCAGGTACAATCACAGTACATTAGGAAATCGCCCTGGCTGGCGGTTCCAGGCAGAGAAAATAGCACTTACCTGATAGTTTCTGCAGGAAGGGTTGAAGGCATTTGTTCCACAGACAAACAGCGTATCCTCATTTTTCTTTAGAAGAACTTTAATAAAGTTGTGACACTCATCCTGAAAAAGAATTCAAACTTCCATGTCTCTATCCCTGCTAGACGGAGACCCATTCTGCATTCCCATCCCTGCCCTGACCTGCTCATCCAAAGCCTCCCCACCGCCGTGGGTCAAATCTGGAGGACAGAGTGGAACAGTCCCACGGGGACTCCAGGGCTGGGAATCTTCCTAAAAGCCGCTGGCCAAAGCGTGCGGGTTTGAACTGCCATCCTTCTGGTTCACAGCTGGGCACTTAACCGCCCTGCCAACAGGGCTCCTGTGCCACTCACAGGAACGTTAGCACTTAAGCAGCAGAGCAGCCCACTTCTCAAAGTTTGAGCTCCTCTTAACAAGTCACCCAAACAATTGCTTTTTTCAACAGCAAATAAAAACAGGGTCCAGGTTGGAAGCGTGTGCTTAGCTCGCAAGGAAGAGACAAGCCTAGAAGCATGAAGCTCCCGTCATAATAATTTTAATGCCAGATGCTCCAGGGTCCCTTGATGTACAAGGCTGCGGCTTCTGGTTGAAGTGTTTTTATGTTGTTTTATGACCAAAGGCACAAAACTCTGCATGTCTGCTGCAGCCTTTTACGAGCTCTTCCCTGATTCCCCGCGGGCACTGGGCTTTGAGGTGGGGCGATCGGCGAGCGCACTTGAAGAGTTGGGACAGCCAAGCCTGTGTCCATAATCCCTAGTGTGCCTAAGTGGTTCATGACGCAGCCCGGGCAGCTGTCGCAATGTGTCATCACGTTAAAAGCAAACTCTTTTTGCAAATTAAAGCCTTCAATAAGTTGATGGAAAACGCAATTACTGTGGGGAAAAGTGAGTGGCACGATCCGTTCCACATCACAGTCGACGGCTGGAGTTCACAGTCAAAATCTTAACCCAAAGTGGCAGCTGCAAGACAAATGAAAATTACCCACCTTATGTTTCCCCTTCATTCTGCACGTGTCTACATCAGCCTGTCTAGATTTCCAGGTCAGTTTCTGTCGGAATCAAGAAAGAAATCAATTAGAGCCCCGAGGTTGGTGCATTTGATTTTGGAAGGAAGAGTTCCCTTGGGGAGACTAGAGGCTGAACATATATTTATTGAAAGCTTTCAGCACCCGCACTCCATGATTAATTCACCATAACAACAAAAGATTAGATAGGAGTTCAAAATTAAATGAGCATTTCCATTTATTCATTAAACTACATGAGCATCGAGGAGAAAGAAAAGAAGAATAAACAACAGTGTGGGATCTTCCTATAAAATACCCAAATGAACTGGCAAACTTCAGGTCATTTTTATGAGATGCATGCCTTGCCCTTTATTTTCCGTTGAAAAATCAGGTTGTAAACATAGAGGGGATACTTGCCTTGGGTGGACATGGATTTAGCTCAGGTTACTCTCTTTCATGTAAGTTAATGGACCAGAGGAAGCTTCTACTTCTATGCACAGATTTTAATAACAAAAATACCATCCCCCTGCCCCCATGTGGAGTTACAAGGAAAGCTAGGTTATACTTTATATCTGCCTGAACAAGACATGGGAATGTACCATTGAAAACATTTCTGGGATAAAGTTTTTCACTTGAAAACAGCTATTTTGGGGGGCACACGTAGGGTCATATTTTATCAAAGGAATTTAGAGATTATCCAAAACTCCAAAATGGATATGCACATATACTTAATAAATAACACAGAGAAGTTACATATCATTTCCGAAAACTTATTATGCCCTAACTTACTCCCAAATTCGAGCCCAGTTACTGTGGAGTTGTCTCTGATACATGTGTCAGGGTACTTTTTCAGAACTGGGATGCCAGGCCTTTCTTCCAAGGCACCACAGGGTAGACTCAGCTGCCAACCTTTGCATTAGTAGCTGAGCATGTTAACTGTTTGTCACTCAATGACTCTAACCTTCCATCAGGCTCAACAGAATGACTGTGTTTGGAACCACATATTATCTCCTTAAATGTCTTTAAGACACTTAATTCTCTTTGAGAACTATCTTATACTCCTTTGTCTCAGAAAGATGGCTTTAAGAGTACTTACTTTGCTACAGTAAATTTCTTCTGCGTGTGATGTGTCTATATCAACAGTATAAATATGGTCCCTGTAAGCAAAGAAAAATTAATACACAGTCAAACACCATAGACAAACACAAAAATCAAGACAGCTTTATTTTCTACAGCATGAGAAACTTCTCAGTCGAGGCAGATAAATTCAGATCCAGTTATTGAAATCAACAAAATAGCAGACATTCACGTGCCAGAAAAAGAACCTCGCTGGTAAGAGATGTGCTGGGTGACTTTCAACAGGTCGCTCAGCAAGTTGCTCTAAGGAACACCTTTTTACAGAAAAACTTCCTTTTGGCTATATTTTCTCTGATACTAAAGTTACAGCATCTGTGTATGTGTAGTTCAAGAAAAAAACGCTGCGCATTAAGTTGGTCCAAAGACTGGAAGGCAGATGGGTTCATGTGCCCTTCAAATGTCTTCAAATCCACGTACCAAACACTTGGCATGCAACACGCCACGTTGGTTCAGCAAGGGGGTTAACCTAAAACTCATCTCCATCTTCATCTCTTTGGAAAATATATTTCCAGCCTTAGCTTTGATGATTTGATCGACAAGATGGAAGGGAAGAAAACATAATGGAGGTAAGATTATTTCCAGAAGCCAGTCTTTGCTTCACACAAAGATGGTCAATTAAGGTCTAAAATGTACTGGAGTTGAAGTTTACATTTCTTGCTTCTGTTCACCTTCCTGTTTTGCTGAGAATTTGGGTCTCTTTACAATTTGCTGCCAATCTTGTCTTGGAAGGGAGAAACCGAATCAGCAGCTCAGGTGTGGGGCTATATTTAAACCTCTCCTTCTGTGTGAGTGGAGTACAAAGGCGTTTTTGTCTGGAATTCAGAAGAAAGAAAAGAACTACACTCAACTGGGGAGATGAGGGGCTACTGCAGCAAAGCAAAACAGCTCGTTTTCCCTTGAAATAATATTGACTTTTTCTAAAATGCAGGAAGTCCTGCGGCTGGAAAATTATCCACAGCTTTAAACTAGGGCCTCACAGTTCTGATGCAGACTTTCAAGCCCCCTCATCAGTAGAACAAGAAGGAGAGGGAGGAAATTATTTTCTCGAGTTACACTTTCTTCTTTATTCCACCCTGTTCTTGAGAAATCTGTGCTTTCTAACTGATGTTAGGGATGTACAGCGGAGATTTTTAAGAAATAAAGAGAAAACAGGAGGCAAGATAGTTGACTTACAAAATTCTCTAGCCCGCCATGGAACTGTGAATGTAAGCGACTGTGTGTGTGTGTGTGTGTGTGTGTGTAAAGGTGGTGAGAAAGAGAATGTGAAGCCTATTTCATAAATTGCTGAACCAGGAAGTTTCTTCAAACTTCAGTACGGTGCCAGAATCGCCCTGCCCTTGAATTTCAAGGCCATTTTACAGCATTTTTTTTATTACTTGCTCGACTTTATTTGTGGTACTGTGGTCAGGCTCATTATTGGAACGGAATTGCCAATTACTTTAGTATCAGGTTTGGGATGACTCTGAGCTTTTCCTTGCCCTGCCTTCCCCCTCAGAAAAATAAGCAGGAGTTGCATATATGAATTGTAAATTAACAACTGATTAATATGCATTGGCAACTCCTCAGAAAGCTCTAGGATTGCCCCTTCTGGCATGGCCCGTTTGTGTGAATGAACGGTTTGGAGATTTGGGGGTGGGTGGTGGGTGGAGAATTTATAAAGTAGATAATAATAAAGCAGAATTGAAAGGGGTTCTTGCCACCAGCCTCACTCAATCCTCAGGTTCTGGATGAGATTTGGCTGCTGAGCGCTGGCAACGATTGTCCAGATAGAACAGGGGACACGGCTTTTACAAATGGCACCTCCTCTTGCGCAGTGGCAATCTACCTCAACGTCCAAAGGATCACATTGTTCCAGCAAAGAGAAACAGGGTTTTATGGAGAAAGCCACCAGCCAGGGCCGGGGGTCTTCCCAGCCACCCTGGGCTCAGCCCAGGATTCATACACTCCTTTGCTGCAGTCCATGATTTGAACACAGACTGACTTAATCCCGGGACTTCCTCTCTCCCTCCCTGTGGAGCAACAATGAATCGGGGTTGCCATGGGTTGAGCTTGGGGGAAGGATTTAACTTTAAATCGTGTTACTTGCTGCCTAGGAAGCTGGATCTCTGAAGGGCAGTTGTTGGGAAATGTGAAGTTAGAGAGGAAGCCTTACATATGGCATCAACAGCGAGCTGTTAGGAATTTTTCCAGGGACAAGAATTGAAGGAGAGTGGCTGAGTAAGCTTGGAGTCTTAGTGGTGCAGTGGTTAAGTGCTCGCAACTCACCAATCACTCCAAGGGAAACTGATGTGGCAGTTGGCTTCCACCAAGGTTCACAGCCTTGCAAGTCTTACGGGGCTCCCTGTGAGTCAGAATCAACCTTACAGCAGCAGGCTTTTGTAGTTTGATTGAGTAAGGAATGAAAATTGACAATGACTCAAATATCAAAAGCCAACTCACTGCTGTCAAGTGGATTCCGGGTCAACGCGCCTCTTTAGAGCAGGGTGAATCTGCACCTGCGGATTTCTCAGGCCGTCACTCGTGACGGGAGTACAAGGCCTCTTCTGATGCAGGCTGAGGGTTCTGAGCTGCCCACTGCTCCATCAGGCGTTCTTATGCCAATGATAGGACAGGACAAACTTGACTTCTAGCCCAAGACAATCCTATTTTATAGTGTGAAAAAGGGGCTACTTCTGCTTCCCTTTCCTTCATTTTTTCCTTCCTCTTCTTGGCATGGGAATTAGGACCGAACAGTCTTTGTTTGAATCATCTGGAATGATGGTCACCATTAAGTTTCCAAAATGCCTCACTTCTCAATTGACCTGGACTGCTAGTAGAATGTTATTACCAGAGAAAATGGTACCATCTCTACTGTTTAATGGGCAGGACAGGCTAGCAGGTAATAAATAGCACAGACTAGTGTAAGGCCAAGACCGACCGCTCGCATCCTGCCTCCGTCACATGGGTCGTCATTTAATTCTTTACACCTTGTGTTCCTGCCCTAAGATATGCAATAACACTAGATCTTTCTCTAACGTTTATAAGGAAGTTACAATTGCATTTGCAACACACAACTGGTGCACGTCACGTAATAATTTGTGAAATAAAAGTTAAAAATTGTTTTGGCATTGCTCTTGGTGATTAAATGTGGAGTTTGCCAACACTCTTTAAATGTCATACTGCAAAGCTTGTAATCTCAGACCATCTACATACTTAAAAGAATCAAGCGCTGTTATTTACCACCTTTACCTATGCCTGTAATTTCTATTTCATCTTTCCAGCATGGAATGGTTAATCAATCTAGATGCAGGTTAAGAACAGAGGGGAACCCCCTTTGAACTATTTAGAGTGAATGAGCTAGACAATCTAAGCAACTTCTGAAAGATAACAATCCAACCTCTCATTTCACAGTGGGACATTTCTGGGCAGATAAATCTGTTATCCAAAATTAGAATAAAAGCCAAAGTTTTGGCTTGATCCCTGTTTAGGCAATTGTTACATGTCCTTCAGTCTTAAGTCATGAAATGTCTAAAAGACATCCCCTCAGTGGATGGTGTTTCCTAAAAACAGAAACCACACTCTTTGCTACTGGGTCATGTCCAACTCATAGTGGCCACAGAGGGCTGAGTAGACTGTTCTGAGACTGTAACTCTTAACTCGAAACAGGAGTAGAAAGCCTCATCTTTCTTCCCCTGAGCAGATGGTAGTTTCGAACTGCTGACCTTGTTGTTAGCAGCATAATGCACAACCCCATATATTATCAGGGCTCCTAAGCAGCCTCTTAGTAGAACCAGACTGACACTTTCCTCTTATAAGATATATTAGACGTATGCTTTCATTGGGTGTTATTGCCATCCTCCCAATAAAGGATATATAAAGATGTTCGCTGCACAAATGCAAACAGAGATAAAATACACACACCTACATATACACACTATATAATACATGTTTATGCAGTCAACTCAATTTAACAAACAAGTATCGAGGAGTGAAGCACTGTTTTGGGTGCTGAGTAAATATATGCCTATACGTTCAGGAGAAGCCATGGATTATTTGGATTTGAGCTCTAAAATATGCAATTATTACTATCTACATCCACACAAAGCTAAATGGACTCAAAACATCTTGAAAGGATGACATCTTGAAGCACTAAAACTGCCTTGAAATTCAAGAAGGTTTTGCAGGGGAACCTCAACATCTGAAAACCAGCAAACAAACACAAACGCATATCCAGAACTCGGGCCTGCAGGGTGCATTGTAGCAGAAGCGTAGGACTGGTCACTTCACCTAGCAGCAATGTAGAGGGTTCTATTCATGACCATAATCATCTGGATGTCCAGTCTGTGCCTCTGTGTGGTGTTCCGTCCTGGTTTGTGGCCCACGAACACCGGATACTGTTTTGTATCTGTGAAAAGAGGAGATGGGGCAAGAGAGGGGAAAAGGAGTCAAGCCAAGAAATGGTGGTGGTGGTGGTGGTGGGGTTTGCATAATAATACAGAACTGTGTTTAAGTCAGGGCATAACACCATATCCATCCAAAATACTATCCTAGAATATACTCCTTAAAAGTCATCAAATTACAATTTAATTTCCACATGGATGTAAGTAATAAAACGGGACTTATCCTTCCATGTGTTACAACTTCTGAGTTGTCTTTCTTTCTGGAGTTAGACTTGCTAGTGAACTCTTTGCATGAAGGTGCTCTTTCTTCCACAGCTTTCTTTTCATCTTCTGTCGAGTGCTAAGCCTGAGGGGCAGCCTGCCAAAGATCTTGTCTGGGGGACAAAACTATTTCAAAGCACCCTTCCCATCAATCACCACAAAGGCAATGTGGTCTGGAGGCGAGAGCCTTCCTCCAGGAGCCAGAAGAAAAATACAGTCTCCACAGGCGTCCAGTTGGAATAATCCACTATTGAAGGCAGCCCCATTAGGTTGGCTGGCATTCTAGGAACTGTGGGAAGTTCACTGGAGTTGAGCAATTGGCTAATCTCACAGAAATTGAGGCTCTGACAGGGCAGGTCAAACTAAGTGTAGCCAATTGGGTGGACCTGGAATTTTCCTTGACATGGGCAGTCGATGAGCATATTTCTCTGTCCCTACAGTTCACGTTGGTTGAGAGTGAGCAGTCTGTAATAATATCTGACCTTTACAAATGCCTACATCTCAACATCTCTCTGCCTTTAAACCTACAATCTCCAGTGCTCTGGCAATCTTCCAAAGAAACTAAAGAGGGAAGAAAGATGAGCCACATTTAAAATGCAGTTGTTTTCCTGAGGTGTGAATAACGAATAGGAAAGCATTCAGAGGCTAATGCCCAGACTCCTACACTCTCAACCCTTCTACTATCTGAGTAGGCGATCTTATTAGAGAGTCCCGCCATTAAGTTCAGTATGAGATTATCTCGTGTCTTTCCCTCTGATCCTTCTTTTCCCTATTCACCCATGACAAGGCTAAGATCATTCATATGTTCCTCTATTATCATGGACTTGCGTGATCCTTTAAGTTTGATTTTCAGCAACAGATTTGGGCGGAAGAGACTTTTGGACGGTAGCACCATGGAAAGAACAAGTGTTTGAGTGGAAAAAAATTAAATGTTTATTCAGTTTGGGGGCCTTGAGTTAAATTGACTCTGCCATTTTGAGTGATGCTACTGAACCACATATTTTGGTCCTTCAGCGTGCCCTTTGACCTTTTGTTGTATACTTGCTTTGTCAGCCTCACCCTCTCATGTCACCTAAAGAGGTGTCATGTTTTATTATCCAGAGAGTTCAGCATTGCAGGGCTTCCCAAATGCCCCGTATTGATGTCCGACAGTCTTTGTCGGGTTCCTTGGGGTGTTGTTTGGAGAAAATTACTGGGAAATAGTTATTTGTGGAAAATGTTCTCTTTTACCTTTGCTAGGATGAAATACTTTGTCTTTGGGAGGGCAGGAAAATCACTAGCAAGTTGATTGTTTTATACAACACATAGTTAGGACTTCCCTCTTCTGAAGAGACCATGGAATTCTTAATCTTGTTGGTTACCCTCCCTTAACTACAAGACAGAGACCAGCGGATAGGCAGGGAGTTCAAAATCACTCTCTCCCCACGCCGGGAGGGATATAACTCCTAAGTTAAAAACACACCAACACCTAAGTTGTATTGGTCAATGACTCCAAAGCAGGCATATTTTGCTTGAATAGTGGAACAATGTCCATGAGAAAAGGTCACATGGGAAATACCCAAATGATAATCTTCTCCCATGATCACGGTCTCTAAGTAGCAGCTGAGACATACTTGTAAGTATTAAGAAAAGTTTCAAATTCTACTCAGATATGTCCCTCCAACACTTGTTAGAGTTACATAACGGTTGCCCCACTACTTTTAAGCTTAAAATTCATCCACCACCATCGAGTCCATACTGACTCAAACAGCCCCATTGGACAGGGTAGAACCGCCCTGGTGGGTTTCCATGACGGCGACCCTCGGGGAGCAGAAAGCTTCCGTGTCTCCTGAGAAGCAGCTGTTGGTTTTGAGCTGCTACGTCACCCATGCTTAAATTATTCCGCTTTGCCATTCAGGTGGGTTAACGGGACTAACAAATTTCCAATCTGTTTGCATGGTTTTATTTAATAATATTTTATTCTATGTTTGGTGAAGGCTTACATTAACAATTTCTACACAAGTTACTTGTTCAGTGACCTCCTGCACAGTGCGTTTTTAAGTAGCAGTGCAATGTAAGTAACACTCTTGTTCTTCTACCTGCCCTTATACATAACAGCCTCATCTTTTGTTTATTTTTAAGGAATAGCTTACTGTTTGCTCTCATGTAGGTGATTAAACCAGTAATTCTTTGTTTTAGTAGCTTCTTTTTTATGGTTTGCTGGTGGATGCAGGCTAAAATGTCCATAAGAAAGGGGGGAGCAAGGGTAAAATTCCACAATCTACTTACAGTTGCCATGCGAAATACTGATTGGCTCAGAATCTTCTGGGAAACCAGCCCCAGCAAAGTGTAGCAGTGTGAGATATAGCAGCAAGGCTTCTGGCCTCATAGTAGTTCAGCGGGGAGACTTTATTTCTCTACTTCACCCTGCCAAAGAGCAGAAACGGATGTGTTTTTTTTCTTGTTCATTTTTTCTTTTTGCAAGTCAGCTCTATTCAACGACATACAATGAAATAACCTTGAAGATAAATTCAGGAGAATAGAGGCTGCTACTTCCTGTCTTTTCCGTGGTGAAATTATCGATTATAGTGCTTTACAGGAGGAACCTGTATCCATTGCTCATTGTACCTCCTTCTCCAGGAACCTGAGCGCTTTGGGAAAGTTGCTCCCAAACATGTGATACGTTTGTTTTAATGGCCCCCTTTCAGGCCATTAAATAAGTAAAACTGGATTTGTTGGAAAGCTACAGGGCAGAGTAAAACTGCCCCTGTAGGTTTCTGAGTCTACAAATCTTTGGGGGATCAAACAGTAAGCACATGCATTTTCTACTGCGGAGCAGCTGGTGGTTTTGAGCTGTTGACCTTGTGATGAACAGCCAAAAAGTACCCACCAAGCAACAGAGTTTCTTATTATGTCCACTAGGGGGTTGCCATTTCACAATTAAGACACTCTACTCTCCCCCTGCCACCCCCGCCAAAAGTGGACAATGGGAAGACTTTTTTTTTCCCTTCCAAAAATTTGCAGTTGCCAATATTGAAAAACTAGGAGGTTTCTGATAGTAATTCAGATCTCCAACTTCTTTGATCGATCAGCATCGCTGATATACCTCGTCCTACCGCAACACACACAATCCGAATGCTCAAACAGGAGAAAAGAAAGAAACTGGCTCCGTTCTTTCATTTCCAATACTCACTTCAACCCTTTGGTTGACATCCTGACCCTGGTGAATATAATTCCACAGTGACTTTGGACATAGTAAGATCACAACATAATCTCTATGATTAAAAAGGAAATACAGGTACCCTTTCAGAATCTGTGGGAGACGACCCTAAAGAAAATCAGAAACCACATCATGGAATGGTATTGATTGAAATAAGTATATAGATACACGCCTACTGTTTGTTTCAATGATTACCTTGCAAAAAAACCATGGTAAGTAAAAACACCATTGTGTACTATTGTTTCCATCTCTATGCTCTGAAAGATGCTTTTTATGTAGAGAAAAATTATCCTGAACCTTGGAAATAAAAAGAGCCCCCCGGTGGGGCGGCAGATGCAGTGAAAGAATCCTCATGGTACTGTAAACACCGCCTCCTTCCTGGCCACATTGGGAGTGCGTGCTGCTCTATCAAGGAAATTAATGTAAAATGAGGCCATCTTTTCATCTTCCCAGAGTAATAAAGCCTTTGAAGCAGCCTGCCAAAGATGATCTTTTTTTGAACAAAGCTCCTTTATGGTGGTCCATCAATCATTTAAGATTTGTGTGTATAAAAGTCAAATGCAGTAACCTAGATGTCTTTGAAAGTTAATTTAGCAAACAAGCTGCTAACTTGTGGTTTTCAGAGCACCATTTAACATGAGATACCTGTCTCCCTTCGTCAAGCCAAAAAAAAAAAAAAAGCTTTAACAAGTCCCGGGTGTTGCATTGCAACTTATAATTTCACCGACACAGCTGGGTCTTAATCATTTCTTCAATTGAAAAGTGCACATTAATTAATTTGCTTTATCTTGAAAATCAAAGAAGGAGAGCGGTTGAGAGAAAAGCCCTGAAACATTTCCCTATCTCCATCTCTGATGTGTAGATCAAAATTCAACTTTAAATGTTTACTTGTTCACAAGGGTGATTTGTTGCCGAGAGACATAAATAGGTAACTCTAGACAGGTTAAAAGCAACTGTCTTTTTATTCTTGTCTTTGTCAGACCCTCCATAGAATGGAGACCCTGAACCCCAAGGACAAAGGCTCTCAGGTCTCCCTCTGCTTGGCTCAGGGCTCCTGTTCAGTATAACATTAGAGGGGAGCAATCAATAACCAGAGTAAGTAGAACATAAGCCAGACACCAGCCAGCTATCACGTTTTAAATATGAAAGCATGTAGGGGAAATGAAGCAGCAGCAACCTAAGAGAAGAAGAACGGGGACTCCAACAGTTGATTCTTGTTCCTGCAGAAATCCTGAGAACGATTATGCTTTCCTATTAGCAAGCTGGTCTCTATCTTGCCATCTTTGTATACATGTTCTATAAGGTCTCTATCTCTGTATACATGTCCTATAAGCTAAAGAGACGGAGCCCTTGTAGCTGATCATGTCCTCCAGGATTAATTCTTTCCATTTCAGGACTGCAAGGTTCAGATGCAAAATCCACAACCCCAGGAGCCGACAGGAAGACTACCTGAGGCAGAAGAAATATATTATGCACCCCAATGGCTCCATTTTAAATCCTTACACAAGGATTGTGACCGAGATGGGCCATTTAAATATCTCTAGGTTTACAGTGGGGCTCTGTGCCAGGAACAATAGCTGCCTTGTGTGTTTCTATCACCATGTTATCAAGGTATTGATATGTTTACCCTGTGGTTGAAAGTGCTGAGGGCTGATAAATCTTGGTCCACCCAAAGACACACACCGTTTTCTTCACCGGAGGTTCTGGGGAGTCCTTACCCAATCCACCTTGGGTCCTAACCCTTGCAAGTCGGTAGGTAGACAGGATTATTTTCTTGTTGAAATGATGACTTTGTGGAGAGATCCCAATTTTATTAGCTGGTTGATTCCCAGCCTGTGGAAGATGGGCTGGGTCTGTCTTGCCCCATAAGACCACAGGAATACAGACTTGTAATAACATAGCATAGCAACTGAAATACAAGTTTGCATTGGATTTCAAAAGCTAGAACTTAACCAGCTGCTGCAGTTAAAGAGACTGAGGAAATAAATTTTAAACCCTAAAAAGCGCTACTACCCACATATAGCATATTTACAGAAAACAATACAAACCATGGCCTTTTCAATCACCTCATAGGCATGCGGAAGTTGGACACTGAATAAGAGAGGCTGAATAAGAATCAATACATTCGATTTATGGTATGGCGAGCACTATTGAAAGTACCGTGCACTGACCAAAGAACAAACAGATCCGTCTTGGAAGAAGTACAACCAAAACGCTCTTTAGCAGCAAGATGGCAAACTTCCTCTCATGTACTTTGAACATGTGATCAGGAGAGGCCAGCCCTTGAGAAAGCACATTGAGTGTCGTAATGTGGAAATACAAAAGGAAGACCCTGGCAAGACCGACTGGCATAGCGACCATAAGGGTGATGGGCTCTGACATAAGAACAGTGGTGAGGGTGACAAAGGAGTGGGCAGTATTTTGCTCCATCGGATGGAAGGTGGCTATGAGTCAGTCGATGTGGACTGCACTTAATAACAACAAAACATGTGTCCTTTCCTCTCTCTGTGGCTGATCTTAGTCTATTTATGGCTTAGATTTAAGCAGTTATCCAGAAAGTTATATAAAGGAAGACCAGTGATATAAAAGATGCAAAGCAAGAGCATTTTCTTCCTCTTATGCTTGAATTTTTCCATAGAATTGTCCCAACCTTCCACTTTTCTTACCTTACACAGAAATGATCTTTGTAAGACATCACGGTAGTATTCTGTGCCTCAACCCATACAATTCATGAAAAATCTGAAGCGCTTTCTTAATTTGAATAGGCTTTGGTTGGTGAATTTATTAGATCTATTTCATTTCATCAATGACACGCTTTTATTGTGAATGCGATGGGAAAGGTTTGTGGTGGCTTTCCATACAACCTTAAATCCACATGAAAATACGTTTTACTCTAACTTTCCCCCTAAAGTCCTCACACCAAAATTGAGTAACAGAACCAGGATGAATGACTGGTGTTGGGACAACGGACGCCAAGAATTAAATGTTGGTGTCGCGTGATTGAACAGGGGTCGCGTGATTGGACAGGGGTCGTCTTCAGGCATTTCAACTAAGAACCAGAAACAAAGAGGTCTGTCTGAAAATCCGGTGACTGTATTCACACTGATAATTGCTTTTGTTAATACTCTTCTCCTTATCTGGAGCCTCCATCAACCTCCACTTGCCAAGTCCCACTTGCCAATCATTCAGCTGATTATTGTGTCAACAAACCGTTAAGCAAAACAGATGTCAATAGTAGTGGAGAATGAGGTCATACATTGAAGAATGAGGTCATCATTGAAGAATGAGGCCACATATTGCCACATCTTACTCCTGATCAACCAGAATACTTTATAAGAACTGTGGGGCCTGGCCAGCCTCCCCAGTCAGACAGGCCAACCCCTTAACACTAGTTTAAGTCCTCTGTTGAACTATTCCCTTAAATCTGCCCCAGAAAATCCTGCTTACAACCCAATAGCATTTGGTTCAAGGACCTAAAAACCATATTCAATTTATTGCCAACATCGGTGTGAGGGATTATATACTTAGCTATGGATTTCTCACACCCTAAAAATGTTGAGACATAGACAAGAAGGGAGGGAAGGAAGGAGGGAGGGAGGGGTGAGAGGAGAGAGGGAGGGATGGAGAGAGAGAGAATCTGGCACTGCTGGTGCATATTCTGCACAGCTACACTTGTGTGTGGCTGTCCAAGGTGGAAGGACTAGCCCACTTCTACTGAAAACGTTCCCAGCACTTCCTAGTGTCTTAAGAAGCTTACCTCACCCTGCTTAATCCCTGAAGGCTTTGAGCGTGACCTCTATGCCACCCAGGTACAAGACATCCATGTAGCGGCAACGGGTTATTTGTAAGTTCCTATGTGTCGTGTGTAGCAGGTGACCTAACGTGACTCACAGTCCATACACACACAGAACCGAGCTTTGTGCTTCAGTGCTCAGCAGGGCAGCACCACAGGCACTGTTGGCATGTGCAGCTGCCGCCGAGAACATACCAGCAGGCTAGAGCGCGCACATGGTTTGGTGCACCCATTGGGATCCAATGAACAGCATACTGATGCGTGGCAATGATGAGACGAAGCATGGAACTGGTAACTTGCAAGTGCAAAATGCTCTTGGTAACAATGGTTAAGCATGACCTTGAAATCAACGGGAAATGAGAGTGAGTGGAACTTATTTTCCAGAGGAAAGTCATGTTAATGCCATGTTCTGTG